CACCTTCACACCTATCCTCTTCAACACTTAGATCAACTTCACTATCTAATTCGTTAAATTCCTATCGATATTTATGACTGATTCATTTCCTTTCATAAATCGACATAACACAAACTTTGCATCATTAAATAATATCAATTATTACAATTAAATTGTAGGACAAAACCAAAAAAAAAGAGCAATAAACAGCGCCATCAATCCTAACCATGGCGTTGGAGGGGGTGCGTCTGGAATTGATGGGGAACCATGCACATATAGACTTATTGATGTTATGAACTATTCGTCTATTAGACTCGTTATACTATTACACAGTAAATTAACATCCAAAATGTTGGATTTACGATATACTCTAGAATTAAAATTTAGAACCTTAGGCCTAATAATTTCTTTTTGAACTTATTTTAATATATTAAGGTTAATAATGGAACCAAAATGGAGATAGTGGATGAATAGCAGATAATTAAAAAAAATCGGCAATCATAAATGATTAAAACAAATACAAATTGGAATTGTCGATGTATAGAAAATAGAACACGACTCATGTAAAGACAAGTTTATATTTGACAACACGTTGCACGGACCCACGAGTCGAGAGTGTTACATCTGCTTTAAGAGAATCAGAAAATTCCAAGATAATATACATAAATAATAGAACATATTAAAAAAATGTAGCGCTTATGCACGTTTTAAAGTAGACTTAAAATGTTGAGTTGGAGTAAACTGGGCTCAAAAAATTCGTCTTTCTATAGTTATCCACGTTCTAGAAAAACTTTTCTTTTTTTTTACCCATAAAATATAACTAGGCCTACACCTATTATTATCCAACCAGTAATGAGTAGCCCATATAATAAAAAAAATGGAAAACGAAATATATAAATCAACACTACTTAATCACCAAACACCCTTTTTCTCAACATGAAACTATTGCTTATACTAAGAAGTTTGAATTAAAAAAAAACCAAAAAAAAAAAACAGTAACTCAGAAAAGAGACAGACATTTTGAGATTCAATGTTACTATCTATTCGATCATTTTCAGTATTCTTGAAAAGGATCAAAGAGATCGAAACGTCGAATTTCAAAATGTCTCTGTCTCTTTTCGGAGTTACTGCCTTTTTGTTTTATTTAAGACTAATTAGTGGATCCTCTGGTTTTTAAGAAACTTGAACTTGATGCATATTGTTCACTTTCTGTTAACTTCATTTTCCCCCTTAAACGGACTCATAACAGGTTCTATGTCGTCCCTTGACCATTTGCTACAGTCTTATTATGTAGCTTTGATTAGTTATTTTATTTATTTAATTAGTTCCCATGTGTGTTTTGACTTGAATTGTTATTATCTTTGGTGTTTTGGATTTTTGACATTGTTGACTGGTTGATTAAAATGTACGGCTGTCTGTTTCAACTGAGTGTTTAATTTTTGTATTGGTTTTATTGTGAGTCCTCTGGATGCATCTTTAAATGTAGATGTGCCGATCATATTGGTACCGATGAAAACATTGAAGCTAATCAATGATTCCAAATATAAACTGGAACTGAACTGTCCTCTTCAGAATCAATCTAGTTATAAGATAACCTTAGAGATACACCCATGTAGATGCAACAGAAATCTTAGTGTTCCGAGAGCCGACAGGTTAATAATAGGAATGTTCAAAGGAAGTCACCAGTGCCCACGGTACTCTGTAGGCTAAATGCTGCTATTAATTGAGATGAAGGAACAATCGCGATCGCATGGATTTGTTTATCGAACCAGTAATTTTTTCTTTCAGTTCGCCAGGTCTTAATGTCTTCCTTTTGTTTGCAATGATAGATGTTAGGCCTATATTAGACCTACTTGTATTAATATTAAGATATTATACTGCCTATACTGAGCTAGCTATCTCTTTGCTTGAATGCTTAAATTTTAAGTTATTAAAAAAAAAAAAGATTTTAATTTAGGTTGTTGTTTTCCTCTTCGTTTGAAGATGATTGTGCTACTTACCTGTGTGCTGCTAATGATATAAAAGTGGTGTGTCAAATAATTATTATAATTATAAACTATTTTATTATTATTATTATTATTATTATTATTATTATTATTATTATTATTATTATCACAAAGAGGTTTTATTTATAGATTTCATTACAAACAATAGGCCTATTTCTTGAACAACAAACTAGAGGTTATGAACGAAGTAATTTACGTTGATTGGTCATCACTTATTCATAAGTTAAGTGTATTACCAGGCTACTTGGTTAACGGTCATCATATCTCGATGAAATGTTATATATACTATATTGATTGCCAATAACCTTATGATATTCGTGTTCATGAACTTACCTAAACAATCCAAGCATTGTTATAGCACGTGTGTGGGGGTGGAATGAGGACGTGTAGAATCGCTGGGCTACATAAAGCGAAGTCAGTTCAGGAACTGTTACTTCACAAATATCACTTGTGGTTTGGATAAAATTCCGGCAATAGACTAGTAGCCCAAGTTTTTCCAGGACCTATTTTAGTTTTCTTAATAATAATAAAAATATTACCGTATTAGATATTATCATATTATTAACAATAATTTCAGTTAAAATATATAGAACAATCCTTAAGGAGAAACAGGGGTGACGCCAGTGGAAACCGGGGCAGGACAGGCTCTTCCCAGTCTGGGGGAAGAAATGTTTGTGCATTTCTCCTTCATAAAAAAAAAATAGTTTTATACTTTAAGACTTCGTATTCCTTTGTTTTGAAAATACAGAATGAGCGCTTTTGTTGAACTTGAACTCAGTTATGAAAGTAATTATATAGCTAAAAATAATTTTGCTGGATGTCATGATTCTTATTAAGAAAATGAACATGTGGATGCGCAACCTGCTAGGGCTTATACAATATATTGCTACTTCTGCGCAATGATGTCTAGGTCAGGGCTGAAGGCGCCGAACCATCTCCACCTTACGGTCGGTGTTCCATTACTCACGGCGCGCACGAGTCTGTGATAAGCCTCCACCTACAGCTGTAAGCTAATAGAAATGTTCACCCCAGGCCTAACCGCGCCAGTTTCCGATGTTTTTCTTGGCGGGTAAATAATTCCTTTTACTATAAACGTCAACCTCAGATGCAGCATAAAAAGTACAAGGACCCCCAAAGGATTGGATTTTCTCAGCACACGTCATACTAAAGGTTTATATTGTTGCCAAATTTATGAACAAACTAGACTATTATGAATATAGATTATACGCTTTAAGAGAGATGTCATATAATCTATCGTAATGAATTAATATCGTCTGCTGTGTGGCAAACTTTTAAGGAATAATAAAAAGGACAAGTTGTGAAAGATTATTTTGGTTTATATAGCGATAATTATATGTGGCAGATATAATTCAAACAATGATTTTGAAATATTTAAAAAAATGCAAACACGTTCAACGAGTAGCTAGATCTATCCATCAACTTGATTAGTGTTTACGGTGCTACACAGTAATCGGAATTTAAATATATTAAATATATATAAAGATAAATAGGAACATCTTGTTGAGCAATGTTATTATTATATTTTTTTTATATCGCGTTTACGGTGCTACACAGCAACCGAATTTAAATATATTAAAGATAAATAGGAACATCATGTTGAGCAATGTTACTATTATCTATTTGCTTATATCGTGTTTAAGGTGCTACGTAGCAAACCGAATTTGAATTTCATATATAATAATTTACTCAGGAAGTTGGAAAACCCTACGTTGGATTGAAAAAAATCGAATTGAACATTCGGTGTATTTCCTAATATTAATACGAGTACATGTATATAAGATACATCAGA